TCAGGAGCTTTATTGAAATTATCATTTCCAGGACCCCTGAGCCATCCTTTCCCCCTTGGGGAGGGGGTAAAGTTTACTATACTATGATATAACTCAAGTGACCGCTAAGGCCCTTGGGCCTCTTTTATAATAATAATGCCAGCATCAAATACAGCATTTTTACCAAAAAATATATAGCTAATGTCAGCACACACATATCAAAATAAAAAAGATAGCATAGACTCTTTCTAATTTCTTTTTAAGTTAACTTCCAATATGAGTGTCAAGGTTTGGATACATTTTGTACTTAACTTTTATCTAAAGATATTCATGGAATGTGACTGGTGCTCAATTAGGAAATTAGCAAGTGTGTAATCCATATAGAGACAGTGTTAGGAGACGTCTAGCCAGGTGTAAAAAGTGTGTAATCCATATAGAGAAAGTGTTAGGAGACGTCTAGCCAGGTGTAAAAAGTGTGTAATCCATATAGAGACAGTGTTAGGAGACGTCTAGCCAGGTGTAAAAAGTGTGTAATCCATATAGAGACAGTGTTAGGAGACGTCTAGCCAGGTGTAAAAAGTGTGTAATCCATATAGAGACAGTGTTAGGAGACGTCTAGCCAGGTGTAAAAAGTGTGTAATCCATATAGAGACAGTGTTAGGAGACGTCTAGCCAGGTGTAAAAAGTGTGTAATCCATATAGAGACAGTGTTAGGAGACGTCTAGCCAGGTGTAAAAAGTGTGTAATCCATATAGAGACAGTGTTAGGAGACGTCTAGCCAGGTGTAAAAAGTGTGTAATCCATATAGAGACAGTGTTAGGAGACGTCTAGCCAGGTGTAAAAAGTGTGTAATCCATATAGAGACAGTGTTAGGAGACGTCTAGCCAGGTGTAAAAAGTGTGTAATCCATATAGAGACAGTGTTAGGAGACGTCTAGCCAGGTGTAAAAAGTGTGTAATCCATATAGAGACAGTGTTAGGAGACGTCTAGCCAGGTGTAAAAAGTGTGTAATCCATATAGAGACAGTGTTAGGAGACGTCTAGCCAGGTGTAAAAAGTGTGTAATCCATATAGAGACAGTGTTAGGAGACGTCTAGCCAGGTGTAAAAAGTGTGTAATCCATATAGAGACAGTGTTAGGAGATGTCTAGCCAGGTGTAAAAAGTGTGTTATCCATATAGAGACAGTGTTAGGAGATGTCTAGCCAGGAGTAAAAAGTGTGTTATCCATATAGAGACAGTGTTAGGAGACGTCTAGCCAGGTGTAAAAAGTGTGTAATCCATATAGAGACAGTGTTAGGAGACGTCTAGCCAGGTGTAAAAAGTGTGTGTCTTAAGTCTTGGAGTAATCACCTGTAGCTGTCAGATGACGTTTATGTACCTGTACTGAGAGAGTATAACCAGTAGTATTAATATAGGTCTGAATAAAGTCTATTGACTTGTCTCGCTGTTTTAGGAGCAGGCCACATTAAGCTGTTAAGTTTGTGGTCAGTAGTCTAACCTTCATATAGTTTCAACCTTGTCGCGACCTCAAGTTTGGGTCAGTGCCACAGGTTTTAAATTATTCAATCAAGTTCAAACAAAGGCTATTTAGGTTCCACCTCATCAGTTGTAATGGCAAATAAAAGTTCCACATCAGAGCTGACTTGGAGTATGCTCCTATATAACAAGATGAAACAGCAATAATAAAGGAGTTTTCTGACATAGAGTTACTTCCCTTGTCCAGCTGTTTATCCCTCATTTTGATTCTGTGCATTGATATCTCCTGATTATTACAACATTTGTTACGAGTAGTTAAGCAGTGCATTGTTCCAAAGTTTAATCAGTTTAGTTTGGTCTCTCATTTGTTATATTTTTGTTTCAAATACTCAAATAACTAGAATGCATCGCAAAATGTAATTTATATGGAAGACTTCAACAGAAAAAAAAAGATTTTTTTTTTTTTTATTGATAGTGACAATGGTAATGCAGATTTACTTTATGGTACTTTTATCTATAATAATAAAACATATCTCAGACATACAGCCTTCTCTTGGGAAAAGTGTCCCCTAGTGTTTGTTTGACAAAAATGGGACATATATATAATTCACAAATGGATATGTATACTGGTTCCCTCATGGACAAGTTGTCCTCATGAAGAAATTGACAGAAATGCATAGGTAATGAGTTTTGAAACCATTAGTAAATTATATTCTGAGAGAGAAAAAAATATTAAAAAATGAACACATATTGATTAAAGAAGATGTATAAATAGGATAACACCAATTTGGCTGTTTCAGTGGGGGGTTTTAGGGGAAGAGAAACTAATGTCTTGTCCTGGAAAAAGAAACAAATGTGATGTTTCAGTGATATTATCACCCTGACTGCGGCATTGTGTTTCCCTGCCGTCAGACAGGAGTCACTAATACACTATTTAATGTGTTCCTCTGTGTGACAGTAATACACTATCCAATATACCAAAGATTGTTTTGGACGCAAATCAGTCATACAAAAAAAAACAGATTTCTCCAAGATAAAACATCATAAATAACACTGCTGCGCTGGTAATAATGAAAACCTACTACACACCACTGTACGGGTGTGAAGTTCCCTGTGAATACTTGAGCACTTTACTTGCTTTTACTTGAGTTAAGATCACAGAGTTAAGCTCATAAATCAATTTTGTATCATCCTAGGGAATCTTTGTTTAAAAACCCTGAGCTTGTCCTATCCAGTGTCTGGGCCCCAAACTCTCCCCTCATCCTTCTCTCATTCACGCTGACTCCTTTATTACGTTACTTGATTTTAATGTTCCCCAGATTTAAAACCTAATGACTTTCTGTGGATTCTCCACTACTCCTGGAGGCCTTTTTGCTATGTGGTAAATTAGACCGGGTAATATGCTGAGGGCTGCAATTTGATATTAAATCGTAAAACCATGGTCAACAGATCACTTCATACACATGTAAACATGTTGTAGATAAACCCGCCTTCTTTTGGAGGAGTTAAGATACTTAAGCTTTATAATTGTGGTGTATCGCTCTATACTCATGTTGTATTGCTAGTTTTTGAATTGCAGTTTGAAAATTTGAATAACCTTTTTAAATGGTTTGTTTATGCATTAAAGATTTGAAAAATAACATTCCGCTGTTAAGGAATTGTTTGATATTTGATTACAGACATTTATTTCTATTTGTTCTCACAGGTAATATGTATTTTATGCAGATACTTATATCCCAAGACCAAAATACAATTATACCGATGACTTCTGATGTAAAAGATGTTTTTGCACTTTATAATGCTGCCAAAAACTCCAATCTCTTAGTCTCAAGGCAAACATCTGAAAGTCCATAGATTGTTTTTTATAAAGTCATACTCCTCAGCAGATATTCTAAAAACTATAGCCAAAAGCAAAAGTCTTCAAGTTCATAGTTCACAGCAGATATTTCCTAATCCATAGTTCATACTCATAGCCAGCATTGCTAACGTCCATAGCCCAGTACCTATCTCCATAAACCATAGCTCACAGCAGAAATCATCAAAGTCCATAAACCATAGCATCTTTACATCAATAGCTCACAGCAGACATCATCAAAGTCCATAAACAATAGCATCTTCACATCCATAGCTCACAGCAGACATCATCAAATTCCATAAACCATAGCATCTTCACATCCATAGCTCACAGCAGAAATCATCAAAGTCCAAAAACAATAGCATCTTCACATCCATAGCTCACAGCAGAAATCATCAAAGTCCATAAACAAGAGCATCTTCACGTCCATTGCTGGTAGCAGACATCATCAAAGTCCATAAACCATCGCATCTTCACATCCATAGCTCATAGCAGACATCATCAAAGTCCATAACCTATAGTATCTTCACATCCATAGCTCACAGCTGACATCATCAAAGTCCATAAACTATAGCATCTTCACATCCATAGCTCACAGCTGACATCATCAAAGTCCATAAACCATCGCATCTTCACATCCATAGCTCACAGCGGAGATCATCAAAGTCCATAAACCATCGCATCTTCACATCCATAGCTCACAGCAGACATCATCAAAGTCCATAAACTATAGTATCTTCATGTCCATAGCTCACAGCAAATATCATCAAAGTCCATAAACAATAGCATCTTCACGTCCATTGCTGGTAGCAGACATCATCAAAGTCCCTAACCCTAACCCACAAATACGCCACAGAAATATGTAATTATTACATTGCCTCATGTATTCTGAAGCAAGGAAGATGGTAAAGAACATGTAATGTTCTATAATTTTATTTTAATTTAAGGTCTTAATGTTCAGTGATCACCTTTATTTACCTGTAGTTTTAATTATCAATCTTTTTGTCCTGTTTTGTCCTTGATTACCTGTAGTTTTAATTATCAATCTTTTTGTCCTGTTTTGTCCGTGATTACCTGTAGTTTTAATTATCAATCTTTTTGTCCTGTTTTGTCCGTGATTACCTGTAGTTTTAATTATCAATCTTTTTGTCCTGTTTTGTCCGTGATTACCTGTAGTTTTAATTATCAATCTTTTTGTCCTGTTTTGTCCGTGATTACCTGTAGTTTTTATTATCAATCTTTTTGTCCTGTTGTGTAGCTGTTTACCTGTAGTTTTAATTATCAATCTTTTTGTCCTGTTTTTTAGCTGTTTACCTGTAGTTTTAATTATCAATCTTTTTGTCCTGTTTTGTAGCTGTTTACCTGTAGTTTTAATTATCAACCTTTTTGTCCTGTTTTGTAGCTGTTTACCTATAGTTTTAATTATCAATCTTTTTGTCCTGTTTTGTAGCTGTATACCTGTAGTTTTAATTATCAATCCTTTTGTCCAGTTTTGTAGCTGTATACCTGTAGTTTTAATTATCAATCCTTTTGTCCAGTTTTGTAGCTGTTTACCTATAGTTTGAATTATCAATCTTTTTGTCTTGTTTTGTAGGTGTTTACCTGTAGTTTTAATTATCAGCTTTTTTGTCCTGTTTTGTCTGTGATTACCTGTAGTTTTAATTATCAATCTTTTTGTCCTGTTTTGTAGGTGTTTACCTGTAGTTTTGATGGCAACTGTAAGTTAGATACCCACACAAGAAAGTTCTGCTCAGGATGTCGGCTGAAGAAATGTTTTGATATAGGCATGAAGAAAGACTGGATCTTGAGTAAGTAGAGTTTCCCTAACCCAGAGGCCCCAAATAATCAGATCATTTTAAGTACTATTTTTGTGACTTTTAAGAGTTAAAAAATATTTCACACTGAATTAAGAAGCCAAGGGCTGTTGAAAATTGTATCTGGGCTAGAAAAGTCAGTAATACATTTTGTTTGTGTGAGTGGATTATTGCTTTAGTCTTTAGATGTCTTACAGAGATTTTCATTGTTAAGTCAAAGAGATATGGCGGGTTGCTATGCCTATTTCCCCAAAGCTACATTACGCTAGTGCGCGCATCCAACCGTGCACTGTTATGACGCGTCCTCAGGTATTTGTATACAGGTAGCAATATCGGAATCCCGTGTCTAAGAATAGATAATTGTAAACAGACCACATATTTGGTATTTCGGCATTATTTGTTGGTGTTTAAGCACTTGATATAATTACTATTGCCAGTTGGAGGGTAAAACAATTAATAAATTTCATCAAAAATAGTCTTACCTACAAAGCGTAGCTGTACTGTACACGTGTACAGGGATTTGTTGACATGCTTCGATAAAAGTATGTCGCACTAAATAATAAAGAAATTATTACTAACAAAACTGATAAATCAATAGGTATGTTATTAAAATGAAAACAAAATTTTCCATCGATTTAAAAAGACCACTATTGCCTTATTAAGGAAAATGATCACATGCCTAAATATTTAAAAAAAAAAAACTGAAGGAGGATTCGAACCTGCACCGTTTATTTTCTAGTCGCAAGTAAACTGCGTTACACATTCGGCTACATAGAACATATAGATATTGGCAATTACAAACTTATTTAACCCGAGAAACACCGGTCGCAGTTTAGAGAAACTTGATCACCCCTGTTTTTCATTATTTTGAGCACTTTCCCAAAGGAGGACCACTTTTCCGTAATACGATTTGTTTTTGCAAATTACATCACGGTCACAAAAAGTGTACTCAAAAGTTGGTCCTCGGATGGGAAAGTGTTGAAAGTATTTTTTTAAGTCCGGGAAACCCCATCACTTTCATAGATATAGTGTATATGGCTATATTTGCAGTATCATATTAGCAATACATAATTTCTCAGCAGTTTCAAAATTCATATTCAATTGGTTTTGTATCTTTTGTATGCATTTTTGCTAACCAAAATGCATTACTCCTTAATTTTTTTCCCCGTTTTCATAAATGCCGACTTAGGGAAATACGGGTAGTTTTCCGCCATACCTCTTTCTGAACAAAAAAATACATCTGCAATTTGTCTTTTAACAACAAAACCAGGCCTACAATGCGTTTAAATTTTCATATCTACAACATTGCAGATCACATTTACTGATCCCAAAAAGCTGAAAGGATGCATTTAATTTGCTCGATCATTTGTAACATCTCTAACATTAACACTAGACTCTGAAATGGCCCTGACAACATCAACTTACGTTAAACAGCCATTATTAGCATGGCCACCAGTGTGATAAGTTTGTATATAAATGTTTCATTGACTAGATATGGTACTTATCTGGTTTCTGAGGCTGGTGTTTCATTGACTATAGATATGGTACTTATCCGGTTTCTGAGGCTGGTGTTTCATTGACTAGATATGGTATTTCACTGGTTTCTGAGGCTGGTGTTTCATTGACTATAGATATGGTGCTTATCCGGTTTCTGAGGCTGGTGTTTCATTGACTAGATATGGTACTAATCTGGTTTCTGAGGCTGGTGTTTCATTGACTAGATATGGTACTTATCCGGTTTCTGAGGCTGGTGTTTCATTGACTGGATATGGTATTTCACTGGTTTCTGAGGCTGGTGTTTCATTTACTATATATGGTACTTATCTGGTGTCTCAGGCTGGTGTTACATTGACAAGATATGGTATTAATCTGGTTTCTGAGGCTTGTGTTTCATTGACTAGATATTGTACTAATCTGGTTTCTGAGGCTGGCGTTTCATTTACTAGATATGGTACTTATCCGGTTTCTGAGGCTGGGGTTTCATTGACTAGATTTGGAACTAATCTGGTTTCTGAGGCTTGTGTTTCATTGACTAGATATTGTACTAATCTGGTTTCTGAGACTGGTGTTTCATTGACTTGATATGGTACTAATCCAGTTGCTGACGCTGGTGTTTCATTAACTAGATATGCTACTAATTCAGTTTCTGAGGCTGGTGTTTTATTGACTAGATATGGTACTGTGTTTCATTGACTAGATTTGGAACTAATCTGGTTTCTGAGGCTTGTGTTTCATTGACTAGATAGGGTACTTATCTGGTTTCTGAGGCTTGTGTTTCATTGACTAGATTTGGAACTAATCTGGTTTCTGAGGCTTGTGTTTCATTGACTAGATAGGGTACTTATCTGGTTTCTGAGACTGGTGTTTCATTGACTTGATATGGTACTAATCCAGTTGCTGACGCTGGTGTTTCATTAACTAGATATGCTACTAATTCAGTTTCTGAGGCTGGTGTTTCATCAACTAGATATGGTACTAATCGGGTTTCTGAGACTGGTGTTTCATTGACTAGTGTGTAATAATTGTGTTTCATTGTCTAGATATGGTACTAATCTGATTTCTGAGGCTGATGCTTAGACTACATATGGTTTTCACTGGCTTCTGAGGCTGGTGTTTCAGTGGCTAGATATGGTACTAATCTGGGTTCTGAGGCTGGTGTTTCAATGACTAGATATGGTACTAATCTGATTTCTGAGGCTGATGTTTCAGCGTCTAGATATGGTAAATCTGGTTTCTGAGGCTGGTGATTCATTGACTAGATATGGTACTAATACAGTTTCTGAGGCTGGTGTTTTATTGACTGGATATGGTATTTCTCTGGTTTCTGAGGCTGGTGCTTCATTGACTAGATATGGGACTAATCCAGTTTCTGAGGCTGATGTTTTATTGGCTAGATATGGTACTAATCTGGGTTCTGAGGCTTGTGTTTCATTGACTAGATTTGGAACTAATCTGGTTTCTGAGGCTGATGTTTTATTGGCTAGATATGGTACTAATCTGATTTCTGAGGCTGATGTTTCAGCGACTAGATATGGTAAATCTGGTTTCTGAGGCTGATGTTTTATTGACTAGATATGGTCCTTATCCGGTTTCTGAGGCTGGGGTTTCATTGACTAGATTTGGAACTAATCTGGTTTCTGAGGCTTGTGTTTCATTGACTAGATTTGGAACTAATCTGGTTTCTGAGGCTGATGTTTTATTGGCTAGATATGGTACTAATCTAGTTTCTGATGCTGATGTTTTATTGACTAGATATGGTCCTTATCCGGTTTCTGAGGCTGGTGGTTCATTTACTAGATATGGTACTAATCGGGTTTCTGAGACTGGTGTTTCATTGACTAGATTTGGAACTAATCTGGTTTCTGAGGCTTGTGTTTCATTGACTAGATTTGGAACTAATCTGGTTTCTGAGGCTGGTGGTTCATTTACTAGATATGGTACTTATCCGGTTTCTGAGGCTGGGGTTTCATTGACTGGATATGGGATTCCACTGGTTTCTGAGGCTGGTGCTTCATTTACTAGATATGGTACTAATCTAATTTCTGAGGCTTGTGTTTCATTGACTAGATTTGGAACTAATCTGGTTTCTGAGGCTGGGGGTTCATTTACTAGATATGGTACTTATCCGGTTTCTGAGGCTGGGGTTTCATTTACTAGATATGGTACTAATCTGGTCTCTGAGGCTGGTGGTTCATTGACTAGATATGGTACTTATCCGGTTTCTGAGGCTGGTGGTTCATTGACTAGATATGGCACTAATCTGATTTCTGAGGCTGATGTTTCAGCGACTAGATATGGTAAATATGGTTTCTGAGGCTGGGGTGTCATTGACTAGATATTGTACTAATCTGGTTTCTGAGGCTGGGGTGTCATTGACTAGATATTGTACTAATCTGGTTTCTGAGGCTGGGGGTTCATTTACTAGATATGGTACTAATCCAGGTTCTGAGGCTGGTGTTTCATCAACTAGATATGGTACTAATCCAGGTTCTGAGGCTGGTGTTTCAGTGGCTAGATATGGTACTAATCTTATTTCTGAGGCTGATGCTTAGACTAGATATGGTTTTCACTGGCTTCTGAGGCTGGTGTTTCATTGACTAGATATGGTACTAATCCAGTTTCTGAGGCTGGTGTTTCATTAACTAGATATGGTACTAATTCAGTTTCTGAGGCTGGTGTTTCATTGACTAGATATGGTACTAATCTAGTTTCTGAGGCTGATGTTTTATTGACTAGATATGGTACTAATCTGATTTTTGAGGCTGATGTTTTATTGACTAGATATGGTACTAATCTGATTTTTGAGGCTGATGTTTTATTGACTAGATATGGTACTAATCTAGTTTCTGAGGCTGATGTTTCATTGACTTGATATGGAACTAATCTGATTTTTGAGGCTGGTGTTTCATTGACTAGATATGGAACTAATCTGGTTTCTGAGGCTGATGTTTTATTGACTAGATATGGTACTAATCCAGTTTCTGAGGCTGGTGTTTCATTAACTAGATATGGTACTAATCCAGTTTCTGAGGCTGGTGTTTCATTGACTAGATATGGTACTTATCTGGTTTCTGAGGCTTGTAAATGGCCACTACTGCTCTGCTAACACAAAACCCTGACAAACCAGATTGATATCAATGTTTTAAGTTTGGAAATTTTGGTTGATTTGTTCAAAATTAATTTACTTTGATTCAGATGTGAACAAACATCAAGGTCAACAAACTGTTTGGATATAACATTGAAAACCTTGTAGGGATACAAGTATTCTGATGATTTTGAGGTTAATTTGAAATGATATATATAAATTAGCTTTCAAGATCTGAAAAGTCTTACATGTGCAAATTAATTTATCTATCAAATCGAGGTCTTTAGTCCTGACCTGAATCTCAGCCAACTGATAAAACTCCCATCTCAGTCCAGCAACACACCTTCTGTTGATTACCTATTTCTGTAAGGATAGAACTTTGTTTGGTACACATGGCTGGGGCTGGTACAGAAGCTCTGGAGGTCAGACATTATGTCAAGGTCATGTGTACTTTGAAAACAAAAGTATCTATTACTGGTAAAAAAAAACATGTTTTCTTTATGATACAATTATAAACACTCCCCACCCATGCTAATGTTGTAAGGTCCTTGATGTTCAACAGTTCAGTTTTCTTCATCATGAGAATTTGATAACATAAAAACTGTTACCTTAATACTTCTGATTTGTGATCTTTGTCATTTCTAGGTGAAGATCAGCTTGCTAAACGACGACAAAAGCCAAAAGGACCTGGACCTGCAGAAGTGAGGACAAAACAGCGAAAAACCTCCCTGGACGAATATCAAAACCCAACCTCAAACATGGAAGTGACCTCTAATTATATGATGGAGGATCAGTCGTCGAACAAGAGCAGTGAGGGTTCCTCCTCACCCTTCAAATGTGAGATGGAGGAGGATAACATGCCCATTCCCCTGGATGAGGAGATCCAAAAGGAGATTGAGAACTTGGAGTATCAGTACAAATTAGTATTCGATACACCGTACTCTGACGACCAGATAGACAAACTCACCAGCAGTCCTAAATCACCCAATGACCTCTTCAATATGACAGACTTATTTGTGCGCAGGTTAATTCGTTTTGCTAAACATATTCCAGAATTCAAAACCTTAGCACAAGAAGACCAAATTCATTTACTCAAAGTAAGTATATGACATATATGGTTATAGATAAGCATGCTGCAGTGTTCTCAGGATGTCACTATTATACCTGGTGTTAATGATACGTTTCATCCATGTTTTCCAGTTCTGATGATAGTGTTAGGTTGATGATAGTGTTAGGCTGATGATAGTGTTAGGCTGATGATAGTGTAAGACTGATGATAGTGTTAGGGTGATGATAGTGTTAGACTGATGCAAGTGTTAGACTGATGATAGTGTAAGGCTGATGATAATGTTAGACTGATGATAGTGTTAGGCTGATGATAGTGTAAGGCTGACTGATGATAGTGTTAGACTGATGATAGTGTTAGACTAATGACAGTGTTAGACTGATGATAGTGTTAGACTGGTGATAGTGTTAGGCTGATGATAGTTAGTGTTAGGCTGACTGATGATAGTGTTAGACTGATCGTGCTAGGCTGATGATAGCGTTAGACTGATAGTGTTAGGCTGATGATAGTGTTAGGCTGATGATAGTGCTAGGCTGATGATAGTGTTAGGCTGATGATAGTGCTAGGCTGATGATAGTGTTAGGCTGATGATAGTGTAAGTCTGACTGATGATAGTGTTAGACTGATGATAGTGTAAGGCTGATAATAGTGTTAGACTGATCGTGCTAGGCTGATGATAGTGTTATACTGATAGTGTTAGGCTGATGATAGTGTTAGGGGGATGATAGTGTTAGAGTGATGATAGTGTTAGGCTGATGATAGTGTTTGACTGATGATAGGGTTAGACTGATGATAGTGTTAGACTGATGAAAGTGTTAGGCTGATGATAGTGTTAGGCTGATGTGATAGTGTAAGGCTGATAATAGTGTTAGACTGATCGTGCTAGGCTGATGATAGCGTTAGACTGATAGTGTTAGGCTGATGATAGTGTTAGGCTGATGTGATAGTGTAAGGCTGATAATAGTGTTAGACTGATCGTGCTAGGCTGATGATAGCGTTAGACTGATAGTGTTAGGCTGATGATAGTGTTAGAGTGTTGATAGTGTTAGGCTGATGATAGTGTTAGAATGATGATAGTGTTAGACTAATGATAGTGTTAGACTGATGATAGTGTTATGCTGATGATAGTGTTAGGCTGATGATAGTGCTAGGCTGATGATAGTGTTAGACTGATAGTAGAATTAGGCTGATAATAGTGTTAGACTGATGATAGTGTTAGACTGATGAAAGTGTTAGGGTGATGATAGTGTTAGACTGATGCTAGTGTTAGACTGATGATAGTGTAAGGCTGATAATAGTGTTAGACTGATCGTGCTAGGCTGATGATAGTGTGTGACTGATAGTGTTAGGCTGATGATAGTGTTAGACTGAGCGTGCTAGGCTGATGATAGTGTTAGACTGCTAGTGTTAGGCTGATGATAGTGTTAGACTGAGCGTGCTAGGCTGATGATAGTGTTAGACTGCTAGTGTTAGGCTGATGATAGTGTTAGACTGAGCGTGCTAGGCTGATGATAGTGTTAGACTGCTAGTGTTAGGCTGATGATAGTGTTAGACTGAGCGTGCTAGGCTGATGATAGTGTTAGACTGATAGTAGAATTAGGCTGATAATAGTGTTAGACTGATGATAGTGTTAGACTAATTATAGTGTTAGACTGATGATAGTGTTAGACTAATGACAGTGTTAGACTGATGATAGTGTTAGACTGGTGATAGTGTTAGGCTGATGATAGTGTTAGAATGATGATAGTGTTAGACTAATGATAGTGTTAGGCTGATGATAGTGTTAGGGGGATGATAGTGTTAGAGTGATGATAGTGTTAGACTGATAGTGTTGGACTGATGATAGTGTTAGGCTGATGATAGGGTTAGGCTGATGATAGTGTTAGGCTGATGATAGTGTTAGACTGAGCGTGCTAGGCTGATGATAGTGTTAGACTGCTAGTGTTAGGCTGATGATAGTGTTAGACTGATGAAAGTGTTAGGCTGATGATAGTGTTAGGCTGATGAAAGTGTTAGACTGATGATAGTGTTAGGCTGATGAAAGTGTTAGACTGATGATAGTGTTAGGCTGACTGATGATAGTGTTAGACTGATCGTGCTAGGCTGATGATAGTGTTATACTGATAGTGTTAGGCTGATGATAGTGTTAGGCTGACTGATGATAGTGTTAGACTGGTGATAGTGTTAGGCTGATGATAGTTAGTGTTAGGCTGACTGATGATAGTGTTAGACTGATCGTGCTAGGCTGATGATAGTGTTAGACTGCTAGTGTTAGGCTGATGATAGTGTTAGACTGATAGTGTTAGACTGCTGATAGTGTTAGGCTGATGATAGTGTTAGGGTGATGATAGTGTTGGAGTGATGATAGTGTTAGGCTGATGATAGTGTTAGGCTGATGATAGTGTTAGACTGATGATAGTGTTAGACTGATGTTAGTGTAAGACTGATGATAGTGTTAGGCTGATGATAGTGTTAGACTGATGATAGTGTTAGGGTGATGATAGTGTTAGAGTGATGATAGTGTTAGGCTGATGATTGTGTTAGAGTGATGATAGTGTTAGGCTGATGATAGTGTTAGGCTGACTGATGATAGTGTTAGACTGGTGATAGTGTTAGGCTGATGATAGTGTTAGGGTGATGATAGTGTTGGAGTGATGATAGTGTTAGGCTGATGATAGTGTTAGAGTAATGATAGTGTTAGAGTGATGATAGTGTTAGACTGATAGTGTTAGGCTGATGATAGTGTTAGGCTGCTGATAGTGTTAGACTGATGATAGTGTTAGGCTGATGGTAGTGTTAGGCTGACTGATGATAGTGTTAGACTGGTGATAGTGTTAGGCTGATGATAGTGTTAGGGTGATGATAGTGTTGGAGTTATGATAGTGTTAGGCTGATGATAGTGTTAGAGTTATGATAGTGTTAGAGTGATGATAGTGTTAGACTGATAGTGTTGGAGTGATGATAGTGTTAGGCTGAAGATAGTGTTAGAGTAATGATAGTGTTAGAGTGATGATAGTGTTAGACTGATGATAGTGTAAGACTGATGATAGTGTTAGGGTGATGATAGTGTTAGGCTGATGATAGTGTTAGAGTGATGATAGTGTTAGAGTGATGATAGTGTTAGACTGATAGTGTTAGGCTGATGATAGTGTTAGGCTGACTGATGATAGTGTTAGACTGGTGATAGTGTTAGGCTGATGATAGTGTTAGGGTGATCATAGTGTTGGAGTGATGATAGTGTTAGGCTGATGATAGTGTTAGGCTGCTGATAGTGTTAGACTGATGATAGTGTTAGGCTGATTATAGTGTTAGACTGATCGTGCTAGGCTGATGATAGTGTTAGACTGATAGTGTTAGACTGATGATAGTGTTAGGCTGATGAAAGTGTTAGGCTGATGATAGTGTTAGGCTGATGATAGTGTAAGACTGATGATAGTGTTAGGCTGATGATAGTGTTAGCCTGATGATAGTGTTAGGCTGATGATAGTGTTAGTCTGATGATAGTGTTAGGCTGATGATAGTGTTAGACTGCTGATAGTGTTAGGGTGATGATAGTGTTAGACTGCTGATAGTGTTAGGGTGATGATAGTGTTAGACTGACGATAGTGTTAGGCTGATGATAGTGTTAGACTGATAGTGTTAGACTGATGATAGTGTTAGGCTGTTGATAGTGTTAGGCTGATGATAGTGTTAGGCTGATGGTAGTGTTAGGCTGACTGATGATAGTGTTAGACTGGTGATAGTGTTAGGCTGATGATAGTGTTAGGGTGATCATAGTGTTGGAGTGATGATAGTGTTAGGCTGATGATAGTGTTAGGCTGCTGATAGTGTTAGACTGATGATAGTGTTAGGCTGTTGATAGTGTTAGGCTGATGATAGTGTTAGGCTGCTGATAGTGTTAGACTGATGATAGTGTTAGGCTGTTGATAGTGTTAGGCTGATGATAGTGTTAGGCTGCTGATAGTGTTAGACTGATGATAGTGTTAGGCTGCTGATAGTGTTAGACTGATGATAGTGTTAGGCTGCTGATAGTGTTAGACTGATGATAGTGTTAGGCTGATGATAGTGTTAGACTGATGATAGTGTTAGACTGATGATAGTGTTAGACTGATGATTGTGTTAGACTGATGATAGTGTTAGACTTTTTTCTTAAAATCATGCATCAAACACTAAGCCCAAATGTTTAGAATGGCTCGGAGATTCACTTTTATGTTACACCTATGTTTAGAATGGCTCAGAGATTCACTTTTATGTTCCACCTATGTTTAGAATGGCTCGGAGATTCAATTTTTTGTTACACCTATGTTGATAATAGAACTGACAACAATTGAAGGGCATTTTTTAAAAAGAGTAAAACTGGAAGTGACATTCCACATGTAGAATGGCTGATTGCCTCAAACCCGTGGAAGAGTTCTCAGACCTTCCCGCACAGAGCTGCTTAGCTGTTGGTGCTGCAGGTTCTGTGCTGCTGAAGCTGTTATATAAGCAGGCCATCAAAGTGACTGATGATGGAACGATTTCCCCATAGAAAGGCCACCATATTCTGCTTTGTTTACAGGACAATGCAGGACGAGAATTTTAAGGACATAAAAATAGGGATTATTCAGTACAGGGAACTGTGAGAAATGTCAATGACTGTGATGTAATAGACAAAGCTGCTTATGTGGCTCAAACACACGTTACATGCATGCTGTCTGCCATCTCACACCTTATACAGGCTGTCTGCCATCTTACACCATAAACACTTCACTGTATCACACGTTTTACAGGCTGTCTGCCATCTTACACCATATACAGGCTGTCTGCCATCTTACACCATATACAGGCTGTCTGCCATCTTACACCATAAACACTTCACTGTAATTCAAACAAATTGAATCTTTAATTGACAAAATAATACATTTTATTTGCAAAAATTATACAAGTTTAACAGGATTGGGTAAACCTTTTTGATATTGCCCCCCCNGTATCAGATCGGTTTACAAGTATGGAAAATGACAGGTAAGACCAGGGGAGGTATAATACTGGGTTTGTCTCCTAGCCTTATTTTCTGTCTGGTTGAGGTACTTTTCCATCAGCATGTATCATCTCTTGTGTGTGCTATGCCAGTATACAGTTAGTCCCAGCTGTCTACCCATCTAGCTTTCCCTGCTCCTTTGGACAGTGCGGTGAAGGATTATGGGTAAAGGCCTCATACCCACACAAAGTTTTATGCCCCGATGGGTATACTGTGATGGTTTGTGGGCAGTTACATGTTTGCTGACACAGCTAAAGCCACTTGTGGGTACTGTGGGGTCTGAGTTTATACCCACAGATAAGTGTTAGGCAGATTTATTCGTCCTAAATGCTTGCCCACGCTCTTTCCACCTTGTTTTATTGGTCCTGATGCTTGCCCACGCTCTTTCCACCTTGTTTTATTGGTCCTAAATGCTTGCCCACGCTCTTTCCACCTTGTTTTATTGGTCCTAAATGCTTGCCCATGCTCTTTCCACCTTGTTTTATTGGTCCTAAATGCTTGCCCACGCTCTTTCCACCTTGTTTCATTGGTCTTTTCTTCTTCAGTGTTTAAAAAGCTGATACAATGTACATATTGTTTAAATTACAGATACTACATTCAAAGATAGAATAGTCAGGAGTTTGTTAATTGATTAAACTGTAATTGTCTCTGGAATAAACAGCTGTTGTATTATACCTACTGTTGCTGCTGGTCTTGTATCACTCCAGAGGCCTTCAAGCGCTCTGGTGGCAGCCACCAAAACATAGGTTGTCGTGTTGTACATGTTAATTAGTCATCAACAACGCGTTAATTAGTCGTCACAGGTTGGATCGATCGATGTTGAGTATCTTATATTATTATTTTCCGTCTCATGATAAAACTTGGGTTATTTCAATGGTCGTTAGAGGCGTGATTAAATATTAGCAACATTAGTTTGTTTTCTCCAGTAAAAGTATGACCAAGAAAAGTCCATACACTGCTTATAAGCATTTGAATTACTGCAACCATTAAATAAATTGTATCGGGAGTAAGATTATGTAACACCCAACTCAAAATCATTTACCGTGTTACAGTAAGTGATGCTTAAGATAAACCAAGTAGTTTCCCATTCTCGCTATAGTTTTTATTTGTATATGTTTTTAACTGTAGCTAAGACATAAATTATTGTTAATAAAATCTCAGGTGTAGTCAGTCGCTCTAAACATTTTGTGATTATGTACCATTTGTAATACTCTTATTTCTTGCTTTTGCAGGGTGGAATTATGGAAATTATGGTTCTTCGTTCAGCTATGGGATTTGATAGCTCACAGATGGGCTGGAAGGTCAAAGGTCAGAGCATTGGAGAAAAAACAATAGGACCTCAGATGATCCAGAATACTTTGGGTAACGGCATGTACATAGAACACATAAAGTTTGTCATGTCACTCAATCAACTGACACATGCCAACAGAACCATCATGACCTTGCTCTTTGTTATTGAACTATTTTCCTCCGATCGGCCAAACGTAAAGAACAAGGAGTTAGTCTCTCAGGGCCAGGAGAAGTTCTCCACTTGGCTCAAAGCTTATCTTGAGTCTTTACATCCACTCACTGAAGCTCGGTCGCTCTATCCAAAGTTGCTGATGAAACTCCTGGATGTACGAAGTTTAGGTGAATCAAGTGCACAAATGGCGGCGCATTTGGATATCACGCGACTTGAGCCATTGTTAGTTGAGGTTTTCAGTTTACAGAAATGACCATGTTGACTCTGATGTTCATGATTATACACTAACATTGCAGGGACTTAAACCATACCAATCATTATTGTACATGTCTCACCGAGTGTGTGTGCCCCGAAACTGGACGCCCAATGTACCGGCCACTCGACCCCATCAACTGGACTTGGAAGGTCCTTAAAGCTACAAGTACAATGGACTAGTCAGTTATTCCCATTTACTGACTCTCCAGCTACATTGTGCTATTCAGTGTACCGTAGTGCTACCTAGGTGAAAGCTCAGTGGGATGGAGAGTTCGCTATAGTAGTCTGTTCACCAGTCAGGAGCCCTCCCTGTATGTCCACCGCACATGTATCCCGCGCTCACAAAACCTTACTCTCACCCAACATGTTCCAACTTAAATCAAACGGCAGCTTTATTTTGTGATTTTACAGTAGGATCTTACACAGTAATGGAGCTGGATGTTTGCGGTGTAATTACCTAGTTATCTCCCCTTGTGGGATAGATGGCAGGTGTCAAATGTCAGTGTAGCTTAACATCATTTTCCAAGGTCAAGGTGATTCTAAGGTCACTGTACTGCCATCAGCCTAGACCAGTAGTACTGTCACTCAGCAATGCTTCAGTGAACTGTTTTACTTATATAATTCCTGGACATATCATTTGACCATTTCTATGAATAACCTTGACATTGACTTTGGAGAGTTACTGGATTCTTGCTGGTAAACTGTATACTATTTTGGGTGACTTCCGTTGGACCAAGGAGGATAAAGGAAAGTGTAAAACTTAGGACAGACAATTGCTTACTTCAGTCTTATGTGATATATAAATCTTATTGTCATGTGACTGATCTGGCCGTGTGCTGATCAGGTGACAAACATGTGATTACGACAGAAACACAGACACTGGATTGGACCTGAAGGATTCTTTATCAGAAGGAGATGGAAGTGTCTACCTCTACACAAATATACAGCTATTTATTGTGTAAGACAAAATCAGTCTTATTTTCTTCAAGTGACAGAGTCTTTCTTGTAGAAGCATGAAATGTGATGTCACAAAGTTATATTATGGAATGAACGAAGAATGAATGAATGAACTTAAGGTGAGACAGTGTTGTCGAATGGTCAAGTAGTCTGGTCATATGGTTAGTCACCTGACCAGTAGTGATATGAGAATGGCAAGGTGATCAGTTTATATATTTACAGGGTCCACTGTGATGAGTAATCTCCCTTAGTATGACAACGAAACTTTATTTGTGGAGGAAAAGGACCAGGGCTGGCTGACCGCTCTAATTAAACTTTTTGGTTGTGGAAGTATTTGACCGGGACTGGCTGACCGCTCCACACCTCCACTCTTGTAGTCAACCTATTTGTGCTGCTGTGCTTGTGTTTGGTGTGCATGTTGCTGTTACTCTGACCCAGGTGACATTGTAAGACCAGTAACGGGACATCATGTGGCTGACCATAGTGATGACCTTACAGTGACACTGAATGGCTGAATCTGCATAAAATTGAAATGTTTATGGAGTAAAGTTGGTGAAGTAGGAGTCAGAGGCATAGTTTTATCATACTTCTTTACCATCTCAGACGTTTGTGATGATAGTCACATGTCAGTCACATGATAGTCACATGATTGTTGTGTTTAGTCTCAACTCTAAATTCATCAATGTCATATAGTTTTAATTACTGCACGTACTTAAAGATTTTGTTTAATTACGAACTACATGTATATTAATGAGGCAACAGCTTGATTTTAAAGTATACTGCTCTGATTTCTAAAGCAGGTTTGACAATCTAACAATTCACTCAAATTAATTTCGTTTTGCTGACACTTCATTGTAAAATTAATATCTGTTTGTCATTAGTCAATTTGTTTATATAAAGAAATGTTCTTTTCATAATTTGTCAGGCAAGCAATTTTCATTATTTTTGTCAGTGTAATCAGAAGTATAAAAAGTGAACTATCATTTTGACAGTGTAAAATGTTATTAAACCATTGAAGTCACATGTGAAAATAAATGAAGTTGAAGCCATCTTTATGCACTGAAAATTGTCGCAAACAGAAGATGATTTTAAAAATTTACACCAAAATAACTGTACCCAGAATTCCGCAGTATTCTGTGAATGACCTTTAAAACGTTGGTGTTATGCAATGGCAGCACTAAGAAAGCTAATTAATGTAGAGATGATGTGAGATGTACTGACAGAAATCAGGCCAGATAATTTATATGGGACAACATTGAAGATAGATTACAACACTGTTACGAGAGAAAAGTCATTAAACCAATGGCAACAACCAGGCCCTCCGACAACTCAGCCATTCCTGCATACATAAAAGCTAAAAGTGCGTCAAAGTATGGAATCAGATCGATGATCTATTCAAAGCATTTACTAAAATAGTTCCACTGGATATGTTAAATAACATGTAGATTTTCTGTTCATTACTTTTCGCTGGTACATCTTAAATTATAAATCTTAGCTCCTTAGGTATAGCTTGTTCAATATAGACATGTGATATTAAAATGAGCTGTACACTGGTATATTGTTTAAAGTCTGTTCTTCCATCCTTTTATTGTCAACGTTTACATGCAAGAATCAGGCTTCCTTTGTGGGATTTTGGACTGATGACCCCGTGATCTATGGTCTGTTGGACGTATGACCCCGTATTCTATGGTCTGTTGGACGTATGACTCCGTTATCTATGGTCTGTTGAACGTATGACTCCGTAATCTATGGTCTGTTAGACGTATGACTCCGTAATCTCTGGTCTGTTGGGCGTATGACTCCGTAATCTCTGGTCTGTTTGACGTATGACTTCGTAATATATGGTCTGTTGGGCGTATGACCATAATATATGGTCTTTTTGGACGTATGACCGTAATCTCTGGTCTGTTAGACGAATTACTTCATAATCTATGGTCTGTTGGGCGTATGACCGTAATCTCTGGTCTCTTGGACGTATGACCGTAATCTCTCATCTGTTGGACGTATGACCGTAATCTCTGGTCTGTTGGAAGGGGATAGGTTAATAGAGCACAAGTCTTCCATATTAGTGTGTGATGTTTCTACTCTGATAGGTCAGTGATCCAGGTGAACCCTCTTAGTTAAGAACAATGATATCTGCCCCAAGGGATCCAAGTCTTGGAATCAAGATGAACCCTAATAGCTCAGAAAACAATTGTCACTGCCTCCAGGAACTCTAGTATCGATAAGATGTATAACACACCAAATGACCCTTTTACCTTATGCTGATGTCATCTATTTATTTACAATATGTTACAGCCCAAATCATAGCAAAACATATATGGCTGTAAGTGCATTCACAGTTGAAGTGTACCTGTGAATTGTATCACACTCCTGATATCATGAGCATACTGTGAGATCTTTACATAACATCTGCCTGGCAAGTTTAAGTTATCCAATACCTTAGGGTTGTGTAAGACCTTGATTGAAGGAAAGCTTGTGTAAGCCCATGTTTGAAAGCAGGCTTGTGTAAGCCCATGTTTGAAGGCAGGCTTGTATATAAGACCTTGTTTGAAGGCAGGCGTGTATATAAGACCTTGTTTGAAGGCCGGCTTGTAAATAAGACCTTGTTTGAAGGCAGGCTTGAATATAAGACCTTGTTTGAAGGCAGGATTGTATATAAGACCTTGTTTGAAGGGAGGCTTGTATATAAGACCTTGTTTGAAGGGAGGCTTGTATATAAGACCTTGTTTGGAGGCAGGCTTGTATATAAGACCTTGGTTGAAGGCAGGCTTGTATATAAGACCTTTTTTGAAGGCAGGCTTGTATATAAGACCTTGTGTGAAGGCAGGCTTGTATATAAGACCTTTTTTGAAGGCAGGCTTGTATATAAGAACTTGTTTGAAGGCAGGCTTGTATATAAAACCTTGTTTTAAGGCAAACCTGTGTAGAATCATGTTTGAAAGCAATCTTGTGTGAGACCATGTTTGAAGGCAGGCTTGTGTAAGCCCATGTTTGAAGGCAGGCTTGTATATAAAACCTTGTTTTAAGGCAAACCTGTGTAGAATCATGTTTGAAAGCAATCTTGTGTGAGACCATGTTTGAAGGCAGGCTTTTGTAAGCCCATGTTTGAAGGCAAGCTTGTGTAAGACCATGTTTGAAGGCAGGCTTGTGTAAGACCATGTTTGAAGGCATGCTTGTGTAAGACTATGTTTGAAGACAAGCTTGTGTGAGCCCATGTTTGAAGGCAGGCTTGTATATAAGACCTTGTTTGAAGGCAGGCTTGTATATAAGACCTTGTTTGAAGGCAAACCTGTGTAGAATCATGTTTGAAAGCAATCTTGTGTGAGACCATGTTTGAAGGCAGGCTTGTGTAAGCCCATGTTTGAAGGCAAGCTTGTGTAAGACCATGTTTGAAGGCATGCTTGTGTAAGACTATGTTTGAAGACAAGCTTGTGTGAGACCATGTTTGAAGGCAGGCTTGTGTAAGACCATGTTTGAAGGCAGGCATGTATATAAGACCTTGGTTGAAGGCAGGCTTGCGCAAAACCATGTTTAAAGGCAAGCTTGGGGAAGACCATGTTTGAAAGCAGGCTTGTGTAAGAACATGATTGAAGGCAGGCTTTTGTAAGACCATGTTTAAAGGAAAGCTTGGGTAAGACCCTGTTTGAAGGCAGGCATGTATATAAGACCTTGGTTGAAGGCAGGCTTGTGGAAGACCATGTTTAAAGGCAAGCTTGTGTAAGACCATGTTTGAAGGCAGGCTTGTGTAAGACCATGTTTAAAGGCAAGCTTGGGTAAGACCATGTTTGAAGGCAAGCTTGTGTAAGACCATGTTTGATGTCTTCCATCAATATTTGCAAAGTTAATTGCTAATAAATCATGATGATTACTGCGAAAGGGCACTGGTACTCAATCAGATATTTGACAAACAAACTGTTCCAAGTTAATGCATCAAATATTTTCCCAGATTCAGAATATCAAATGTTTCATTAGGTCAATTTTAAACAATTGTAGTTCAAAGATTTTTAATGGATGTTATACTTTTTTTTAAAAATCGTTTTTAAAAACTTTTATCATGACTTGGTGAAAATTCCATTTTAACCTGAAGCTCTCTGGATATGTGTGCTAATCACCCTTCACTGACCAACTCACGGTCAATAGACCCTCAATGACCAACTCACGGTCAATAGACCCTCACTGACCAACTCACGGTCAATAGACTCTTACTGACCAACTCAGGGCCAATAGACCTTCACTGACCGACTCACGGTCAATAGACCCTTACTGACCAACTCACAATTAACATCCGAAACTTTCATTTATCGGGTAAAATGTTAATACATTGCTTGAAAACGTTTTTAAAGTCAGTTATAAAAGATTGGGTAAATTTTCATTTTTCATGTAAGTAATATCATACATGTGATACACCAATGCTGTCACTTAACCAACATTGTCACTTTACCAACATTGACGCTTTACCAACATTGACGCTTTACCGACACTGTCGCTGTCACTTTACCAACATTGTCACTTTACCAACATAGACGCTTTACCGACAAAGTCGCTGTCACTTTACCAACATTGACGCTTTACCGACACTGTCGCTGTCACTTTACCAACATTGTCACTTTACCAACATTGACGCTTTACCGACAAAGTCGCTGTCACTTTACCGACATTGTCACTTTACCAACATTGACACTTTACCGACACTGTCGCTGTCACTTTACCGACATTGTCAGTTTACCGACACTGACATTTTACAAACAGTCATAGGGTTAGGGTTATATAGGGTCATATTACGAATTCTGTCACTTCACCAAAACTTCAACTCCCCAGCATCTGATTGGTTATCACATCCTTATAACAAGGTATCATTACCCAAAGTATTTTAATTTCTGTCATATCATAAAAATACAGAATTATTTTAAAGAGGTATACAAATTTGATGTATTCGTAAAGTGAGTGGTAATAATCTACAGACGAAAATTGATAAAAGGAACAAGTGAAAAGAACATTAAATATTTTCTTGTCGTGCTAGGATTTCTTTTGTGTCCAGACTGCATGAAATTAATAAATCAATCATGTTGTTTTAGATCATAAAAAGTCAAAGTTGAAATTGTGACACGTAATCAGGCTATGAGATGGTGGGTTTAATATTGGACGAGATAATTAAACAATGATGGATTTGTGCGGCTCTTTTATCTCCTAAACTCTCCCAAAACAGAATGTATTATAATTAAGAAAATGTAATATTCATATGATATTGAAAATTTAGTTCTTTGAAGGCTTCAGAAGAGAAGTTCGCCATTTTAATGAAAAATATTGAGTACCAAAATTACAAGGGAACCGTATGGAATCAAATATCAGTTTGGTATGATTGAGACATGTTACTGTGTTATGACAGTGCGTGAGGTGGTGGCACTTTTTATTTAAATTAGCTTTGTAATTAACTTCCCCAGAACCAATACCAGCGTTTGGTTCACTCTGTTTACAGATCTGCTGATTGTGTAACATAAATAGATTTCTGTGTTTTCTATTGGGGTATAATTTCAATTAGTAAAATGTGATGTGATATTGATTTTAATTTGTGAAGTCTACATTATGACGTTTTTTAACAGGTAAACCTCAGCTATCTTTGTGTTTGTAGAGCCATTGTAAGTGTGCCCAGAGGTATAAAACTGACTTTGTCCGTTTTTCTAATTTCTTCCTGTCATTTTCACATTCATATCAGCATCATATCAGCATCATCAGCTTTTCAACATGCAATTTTTTACACTATTTTTCCATATCAAACGAGTCATTGTAATATTGCTAAGGTTACAGTTTTACACTCTATCCTTAGACTTACATCCTACTAAACAGCCATCTCCTTGATTTATTTAAGTCGATGTTCACAAAAGTTTTATAGTAAATGCAACCATTTGAAAATCAAAATTATATCAATTAAATAATTCTGAAAGAATTGTTTGACTATTTTCCTGTTAATATACACACAAAATCAAAAGCATGTAATACAGTGTAGCAGTGGGAATATATATTTTGTTACATGAAAATATGGCATATCA